TTGCCTGCTCATACTCCTATTACTCCACAGCCTGCTCCTGCAGCCACTTCGCCAGCAGCTGCTGCTGCTCCTGCGGTTGCCTCCGCTGCTCTTGCAGCTGATGCTGCTCTATGTTGCCTTCAACCTAAAAAGGTAAGAAATTTAGTGTGCATGAAAAGACTTAAACCTTGACCCTCAAAGGAGGAAAGCCTTGTTCACAAACCACATCACCAATCTTATTTTTGTGGTATTTTGTCAGTTACGCAATATATATATTAACAGTCAATGGTTTTATATATATATATATATATAAAAATTTCATATATGGGCCTCCTCTTTAGCCTAATTCAAAACAAAATTTCATTCATAGATATTAAAACCCAAACAAAAAATATTATGTCTCAAATCCTAATTAGTCATTATGTCTAATACCTAATTTTTCTTTATTGTATTCAATCCCAATGTGGCCATCCCAAAGTGAGCTCCAAATTGACATTATGTGATACATATGAGACTTCATCATCTTCATCACGTAGGGCTTCATATGGGACTTCATAACTTAAGCCTTTTGGATACATCATGTCCTCCCGAAACAAAAGATATGTACACATACACACAGACAAACACACACACACACACACACACACACATATATATATATATGTATGATATGCATACAAATACGATGAATAAATAAAAGGGTAAATTTCACTTTACTATCCAAAGAAAGATGGAAGCATAATTTCCTTTATTTTGTTCAGTTATTCCCATGATATATATACAAATGACAACTTTTAAATTAATCTTTCAAGGTTATATATGTGCATATATATTTATATGTATGTTTTGGAAATAATTTACTTTAAATCATAATTAAATTGGTACCTCTACCTCCTGATCATAAAGAAATGGTAGATCTACCTTGATTGCATGCCACGAAGTTTCTTCCGTGCTACAAACCAACAGATTGAGAGAATATTTTCTATTAGTGGAATGGAAGCCATGCATATAGATGAAAAAGCAAATAGAGAAAAGAAAGCAATCTTTTATGACTCTCTTGTTTTTTAGAGATAGAGAGCTAGCTTAATTAGCCACTCTCTCTCTCTCCATCCCCTCACACTTTAGTCTTTACATTTTGTGCTGATTGAAATAAAGTAGAATTCTCATGTGATATGATATCCATTAAAATTCCCCTGAATTATTTCTTAAAATTTCCATCTCGTCTCCTTTCAAAACTAAATAAATAAGACTAAAAAGCTGCAAAAAGATTATGCAAATTAATTAAGCAGCCGATAAGCAGTTTAATTCGTGCTTACCTTGAAGAATTTTCCCACGAGTTCTTGTTATCAGTGGTATTCGCGTTCAGTCGGTTATTACATAGTTTTGAACCACCTAAACACATAAGAAATATGGCAGGCAAAAGGGATGCTTTGAAAGGACTATCAGCATGCCGAAGGCAGTAAACATACTGAACTATAGAGCAAATGCACTGTGAGATGCCAGCAACGAGTCCATAAATGTCAGGAAGAGTACCAAAAGGCGTATATGGAGGAATTGGCGGATGATAAAACCACATGAGCATTCCCCGGCTCCTGAACACAACTCTTTCCTTTTTACCTCTGTAAATTAGCTCCCCAATGGAAATGAGCAGAGCTGCAATAGCCAACAGCATCCCAAATAGTGCATAGTGGGGTCTTCTTGGGGAGGAAGCCTGATCACAAGCAGCTGACAAGATCTCTAGGCCAAGGTTAGTGGCTAAAAATATCCACTCTGCTGATTCTGAAGTAGCCCTCATCCTTGAAACTCAAGGAGGGTTTGTAAAGATTACTACTATGTGCTAAAGATGGCTCAGAAGAAGACTGATCTTCACGACGAGTATTTGCAAACCAGTAATCCAGTTGTTGCTCTCTCAATTTCCATAGCTAATAAGCAAGTGCTTTTCTTTGAGACATAAATACCTCTGTTTGGTTACTGAACGCTGCAATTCATCTTTGTGGAGCCCAATTTAGAGAGACACAATAGCAGAAGAAGAGAGTGTTTTGACCAACTGGTTTCAATATGTGGTGCCGTGCCGCCATGGCTGACCGGCTTTTCCTCCACCCCATTGTCTCGGTTTTGGGATTTGTTTGCTTGTTTGATTATCCTTCCCACACCATTAACATCATCTTCTTTCTTCTTTCTTCTGGGGAAGAAGAAGAAAGAAAACCCTAAATCCAAATGGAACCAATCTGAATCTGAGAGGTTTATTTCACTTGTTTCTCTCTCAGCTCTCAGGCTCCCAACTGGTAAAGGTCAACTCCTGGCTGAGCCTCCATGTTTGTCTCCTTTATTTCTCTCATTCTTTACTCTATTTGCCTAATTAAATTTTAAAATGTTGATTATTCTATCTTGTATTTGGTTGGTGAATGTACTCGTCCTTCAAATTTTATTTCAATATTAGACGTTTACTATTTTGCCCTCGTGTGAAGAATCTTATCTCTTAGTACATTTATTTCTCAAGGGCATTAAGGAACTTTCAAACATTTAACCCTTCTTTTGTCTGATTGGTAAAAAGATAATAAAAGCAACTGATGAAAAAACATTTATGATAGATTATGGATCATAAAACCCATAAATTATGGATCCTAGTCTTGAATCTCTCTCTTGTTGCAAGGTAGCTTCTTTTTCTCCATTTTCTTATCCATTCGAATTTGATTTTTCTCGATTTCCATGTTTGATTTCACTTTTGGGGTTTCCATATTTGATTCTATTAAGTTTTCACAATTCAAAAACCGCACAAGACGACTGCGTTTTCTTATTCTCGCTTTCTTCAGTTCTCTGTTCTTGTTTTTTCTCCTCTGATCTGAAGTTTTCTTCCTTTTTTACGTGGAATTTGTCAATATAATTAGTCACAAATATTGGGTTTCGTTGAAGTTTTGTTTTGGGTTGTTTTTTCTCTTATTGGGTATGCACTGGAAGGTTAAATGGTTTTGAGGAAATTTCATGGCTTCGGACAATTGGGCATTCTGGGAGAGTTTGATTGTATTGGCTGAGGCTGAGTCTTGTGCATTTGAGGCTCTTTCCAAGTCTTGTGCAATTAGGACTGTTCTGAGGTAGCTGTAGGGTAGGGAAAACAATATAACTGACATCCTCTTCTTACTGCCTGTTTTTCTCTCGGCAAACCTTTTTCCAGTATATTTTGCATTTCAGCTTTATCTACAATGAAAACCTTTTAAATGATTATAACAAAGGGTCCACAGATAGGATAGAGAAAGAAAAGAAAAATAAAATTATGCACACAATCCTTGTGGTTAGATTGTAAAATTCATATTGTCCTTGGGGTTTGCTTCATGACACTTATTCTTTCTTTTATGTGGTTTCCTCAGTAACAAAAACACATGAATTAGAGAAGATGAAGCATTTGCATGCAGCACACTGATTTTTGGGAGTTTCACTAAAACACCCAAAATAGGGGCTGAAATTATAAATGACAAGGAAAGGCACTTCCAGAATCCATACCCTCTAGGAAAACCCCCTTTGCAACTAATCATGCTCAAGAATGGCGAATAGAAGATCATAATCAATTTCAATCAGAAAATTTAACTGACATTTCTAGTAATCCTTATAGGTTTTCAACCAGGGTAGTGACATCTAAATAATCAGCACAAACACTGGTCAACAGACTGCATCAGAAATTTAAATAGGGGAGGAAGGCTAAATTTCTAATTTAGACCATAGCAAGGATGACCGAGTTAATATTAATTTTGGGGTATAATTTAACGTGTTGTTTGATTAGTATTATTATTATTATTATT